TGTGATCATACTTACTTGTGTGCACCTGTAACCATTTAAGCAAAACATCACAGTATATTACACTGCATCAAGTACTAAAAATGTTATTAAGTGATAACATATGAATTTCCTAAATATTGCAGGTCAAATAACTAAGCTCTGTACCTCGCAATCATCAAACCAGACACTCCAGTTTGCTCTCTTCGTAAAACAGCATCTTCATAAGAAAGGATGTCTCCATTACCTGAAAATCGCATCAAGATTTATTAGTAAACTTACATCAAAATTTTGTACGAGGTATATATAAAAAAATTCTTTATGAAAGCTGTGAATGCTGCAGTAAAGTTGTTTAACCCCTAACAATCAATCATCAGTATGCATATTCTCCATACTGTTCTCTATCCATTTCCTAAAGTGGTGACAAGGAGAATTTGTTTCACAATCAAGAGCTTCTTTTCTTCTCCTTTATTCCCATGACCTTCATGGTTGATTCAGGGGTGGCATTTTGAGGAGAAATTAGATGCTAATCACTCTTAACACTCCTAAATACCTGTAACCAATGCACCCCAGGATAGTTTCACCATACAGAAATTGGAATATCAAAAATTAAATGCTTGTATATTGAAATTGTTTTAAAAGACAAAGAAAAAGCAAAGTAAAATTCTCTTACCAAATAGAGGCATTGGTGCAGCAGCCTTAGCACACTCATTGATATAGTCCCAGTCAGCTAGTCTTGTGTATCGTTGTTCCCTTGAGCGTCCATGGAGCTACAGGAAAAAACACAAGGAAAAGGTTTTTCTCAAGCTTAGTACATAGCAGCAACAGGTAAGTCAACCAGTACCAGTAACAGTAAACTATCATTACAGCAAATAACAATTTAATTTGAAGAAAAATAACAAAACTTTTTTATTATAAATAATTGCAGACCTGTAGAATAATTTACTGCCTGCAGGAAGGCTTGGACTTCGATTTGATACACACCCTGGCTGAGGGTTTGACAACCACAGCTTACCCTCAAATCTCGAAGAATTTTGCCTCTCAGGCATCAGGCCAATAGCAGTATTGCCACATGTACTTCTTCTAGGTGATGGTTTATCAGCTCATACTTATTTCTCAACCCCACCCCACCCCAGCACCCCTCCATCTAAGGTTTACATGACAGCTTGCTGGTAACCATTTAATATCTTTTGCCAAAGCAGAAAGATGCACTCTCAAAGTTCACAACTCAGTTTACCCAACCAAGAATGCATCATCCAGTCAACCAGCCAGGACTAGTGATCTGGACACGAGTATGTACACTTAATGATGATTACACCATTACATCTTCCACCTCCTCCATTACTATAATAGTCCATTTCCTTTCCAATTTACTTACAGTTGCCAGTGAAACACCCCAGGTCTTAAGATTGGAAATGAGCTTGTGTGCATTCCATGAAGTTTTCTTATCACTGATGCCAGTTCTCATTTTGACAGTCAGAGGTATATCCAGAACCTTGACGACAGACAAATAATCCAATGGAAAGGGGTCGTTAAAAATAAAATATATTTCATAATAGTGAAAAGTAGTCCAAAGTACTCTTGCTTCTCAGTCTATAACTACATATAATCTTTTCCCTTTCATGATCAAAGATTAAGATGTTAACTGACCTTTAAAGAAATCCACCAATATCAATCATTACACATGAACTGTTTAATTGTGCCATTACGGCATACAAATGTTTAAACCAGTAAATCTTTAATAAAAAATTATTCTTGCCATTACCGCAGATGAACAGTACAAATAAAAAATGCCACATACACACATTGTTAACATTACACTGTATGGGAATTTCATTTAATTTTTTTTTAATTAAAGTTACAAAATGTATTTAAGTACTTATTTCATAAAAAGCCTTCCTCATCTACTTACATATTTCATTCCTCTGACAATCTGCTCAAATTTTCCCATGCGGCCCATCAAAGCACTACCAGCTCCCTGTATAACCAAGGACAAACATCCTATTTTTAATTTATCCACAGGTTAAACACAGATTTATTCCAAACATGTCTTAAGAGCCACACAATTTTCAGACACACCCCTCCCCTCTCAATTCATCATACCTGTTTAAATACTAAATCTATGGGGCAACCAATGTTGATGTCCACAAAGTCAACAGGAACATCATTCTGAAGGAGCTCGGCACATCTTGTCATTGAGTCAGGAAACGAACCACATAACTGCACACATCAACAAAAAATATTCACCTTTAAATTTATCAGTATTCGGACAACAGTGTGAAATATGACAAGTAATATTCACTATCATCATAAGTGCAATTGGTTTTTAGTTACCTTCAAGCAACAGATCAGAAATTAAATCATAAGAATAGTATTTCACTAAAGATAAGTCCCTTACCTGTGCACCAAAAATGTCCTCAGAGGGATGGCGTTTTAGCAAGGCCCATTCTGACATACTGCCCTATAAAGACACAATGTGAGTTTCTTCCAATTTCTAACTAATATATTTAACATAATCTAACAACAAAATCAAGAATTGCCTCCAGACACAGATCAAGATAATATCGTAAAATAATTCTAGAAGCCAGAGTGACTGACCTGAAGTAGTTTGGTAGACATGGCCATTTCACTGCAAGTTATATCTGCACCAAACTGTTTGCATACTCTACGAAATGGCAGGTTACCAACCTAAAGTATAGCATTGTTAAAAAATAAGAAATAAAGGTTAACATTTTAATTCATCATCTCAGCAAGAGCTATTAAGCATGAGTAAATCAAAATAGAGCTGAGGTGAGTTATACATTTGGAGCAAAGGTGCACACAGCGTCCTTGTATAATAAATTTGTTGTTAAAGCAAAGGTCTAGTACTAAACAAAATAAAACAATTTGGACCACACACTTGTTTGTTTTGTTTGTTTGTTTATCTATACCCCTTGCAGAAAATCTGAATTACAGGTATAGCCAGCAAATTGTATGGATGGAAGTAAGCTAACAAAATACAATAATAAATAATGGATTTTTATACATTTTGCTTTAATTATGTGGCAAACTTGTTCGTTACAAACTTTTCAAAACGGTCAGTTCTTGTGCTTTTCACAGAACTAGTAGAAGAAGACCTGAGATTGTACTTGTTACTTGGTTGAGCAAAGTGGCTTTTGACAATACTGAAAACAGAGTTTGATGGTGTCAGGGTACACAATAAGCTTCTTACAAACTTCTTCATGCCTATCCGCAAGCGTGGCAATCCGAGAGACCATGCTTGCAGCATATTTGTTGATTATTGTTAGTTTGATTATTGTTAGTTGACATATCAACTAACAATAATCATCAAGATTGCTTTCCACTCAGCCAAAGGTTTGTATATTTGTCCAAATGCAATAGAGATTTACAATGAACATGGATTTCAATATAAGATTCTGAGGGAAACCTAAAATTTAAAAATTTAAGAATGAAATGTCCAGTTCCATGCTACCTTCAGGGCCTGACACTAACAGTAGCCAACTAGCCACAGACTAGTAGAAACTCAGATTTGGCCTGTGGTTTTTTATCTCCCCTAGCCAGTTTAACCAGTAAACAAACTGGAACTGTTGTAACATCTGAGTTGTCACTAGCCCCTTGGCTAGTAAGTTGAAAAGTTAGTGTTGACCCCTGACCTTTCTTCCTGAGTCTGCCTTAAACATGAAGATGCGCTATAAAAGGAGCCCTAGGTCCTACTGGACCATTTGTCAATCAACCATCATGTGATGTAGAACTCTTAGAGTCAAGTCAGCTTGAGCTACATGTACAGCTACTCCAAAGCAGTGAACAGCGGGGGCATTCCTCAAAATTGTTTTATGTCTTCATCACAATACAAGAATTTTTGAGATTTGTATTTCCTTTCTTTCTTCTGTCTTTATTTGTGGTGGTAAATTTGAGATCAAAGTAGGTGGTTCGCATGTTACCACATTGCCACCACGCTGGTGGAAGTAAACAATAGATATCTCATTAGCTCCTTTTGTTCATCTACCAGCATTTAAATTTGACCCGCACACGTCAACAGTGAGTGACAAATGAGCGTAGGTCTTCCCAGGGAAGACTTCCTTATATAGCACGCCTTCGTGTTTAAGGAGGTGTGCAAAATTCCAGTGAGTAACAAAATAGTAGAGCATGTAGAGTTAACTCTGATTAGAGTCAGATCAGACTATATTTTTAAAGGCAACTTGCAATAATCATTAATCAGTGATCACTGAACACTTACATTGATAGAGACCAAGTGTGATCAATTAGTTTATGTCTCACTGAAAAATTCCACAGTGATATAGTTGAATTAGCTTAATACAATTTAAATTGGTTTGAAATTTCAACTTACAGTTGTTAGTGGTGCCAAATACAGCTTGTCTGCAAAATTGATCTGGGAGTGGAATAACAGGACCGTAAACAGTTAGTTAACAAATACACGGTAATCCATAAGTGTGTTCAAATAATTATGAGATGGTTACCAGCCAACTAGGCCCATAGCCTGAAGTTGGCTATAACCAATCTCGTATGCAATAACTGAATAGCATAAATATTTCATTTTATTATCCAACTGTGCTTTGTAGAGTACAAATAATGTATGAGACAGGTACAAAGATCACGCGGTATAATAATGGTATATTATTATTAACGCGATATAATAACAGTACATTATTATTATTAACGGTATATTATTATTATTACTATTACTCCAGAAATATCCACAAAATTCACCCATACTGAAATAACAATTTGGCATGTTGGATAATAAATCCCTTACTAGATGTTTTAATGTGTAGTATCGCTGAGTATTTCAACTTGTTGTTTGTATTTTGAATGAATGAATGAATGAATGAATGAATAAAATGTCTTTATTTCGCTCGTTAAAATACATAACAAACATTACAGAGAGTAAGGGTATATAAATCATTTAAAATAATTATGTAAAATCAAATAAAACACCAGATATATAATGTTACTTGGTCAAGTTGTATTTAAACTTTATTCTATTAAAATAGAAATTCTTAAAAAGTTCTGTATTTATCCATGGTAATTGGCTTGTTTGTGATTTTAATTTCTTGGATTACTCTTTGACTTTGGACAGAAGGGCATATAATGGATATTTAACATTATTCTTAATTTTGGTGAACAGCCTGCGATCACATTTCTCTAAAAAGGTCATAGATATTAATTAACTCAGAAGTGTAACATTGTTTATTGCACCTTTTTTAAGAAGCATTGTATGGCATTTAGATCTGCCTGGCTGGCTCCCTATACTGGAAGTGCATAAGTGATCTTTGGCAAAACAATAGCCTTAAAGAGATGATCTATCTCTACCTGCATATATCCTTCTTTTCTTGGTGATTTTAAAACATACAAACACTTGTTAGCTTCTCAAAGCTTTCCCTTAACATGAGATGAAAACTTACAGTCATTTTGTAATGTGAAACCTAATAGACTTGACTTGCCCTGTGGGCTCATCAAAATATGACATACCGTAACTCGTAAAAATACTCAGTCTTACTACACAACAAATCATCTAACAAAATACATAAATTTCATCAAATCCCAACCGTTTAGATATTTGGAGCTCATTTCAGCTCTGCAACAGTTGGTGCAATGCAAGGTGACTTACAAAATGAGCTGATAGCTGAAGTTTAATGAATCAATCCAAACAGGCAGCAATCAGAAATGAAAATTTAATAAAAGATGAATCTAACACTTACAGCATGTGTCCCATTCATATTTATGATCTATACCTTTTTCTTTTCTTGTGGTCTAAGTTTGATGACATCTTCATCTGTGATAGCTCCTGCAGTTTTGAGACATGGCCTAGGCAAACTTTCAAGTTCACTATTTGCTTTGCCCTCAGCTTTCACTTTTGCAAGATGTGCCACATACATGTCTGCTTTGGGAAACTCCTACTGTTTTTTCCTCAGTGAAAATGTGAGCTCTTTGCTTAACACATTCTTTGTCATTGAAGGTGCAGTCTCCTTGTATAATTCCTCATTTACAACGTTTTCATAATTCTGAGAAATATGCTTCTTTCCATACCTACATGTTATACCATATATGCATTTACCATATTTCTCAAAGTTCACACAGGTTTCTCCAATATCAGGAAGCTTATGATCTGTCATATACTTTTCAACATCATGCAGATATCTGCACTCATTACCATAAGCACACTCTTCCCCCTTGACAACACTTGTGCATAACTGCCGGCTAAAATCTAGCTTTGCTGCCCGAGGTCTAGCTTTGTTCATTCCACGTTTTTTCTTCTTTTTAGATGGTTCTCCTGATTTGTTGCTATCATTCTGATCTTCACTAACTGGTCTCTTTTTCTCGGCTTCATTACATGATGCTTTACCTTCATCTGAACTTGCTTTACTAGCTGCAGTTTTTGAAACCTTCTTTAAATACCTGTTTGAAAAATTGTAAAGAAAAGAAGACAAACTGAAGGGAAAGGCAGTCAATAAAGAAAACGGTTTGTAACAGAACGGAACAAACCAATGCAAACAAAAAACACAAATATCAATTTCTGGAATGGATGGAAAGTGTGCAGTGTAACCTTCATGCAAGCTCCACAGTCTATTTCAGGACTTCTATAATAGCAGCCACGTGAAATCAAAACGTACAAACACACTTACTGAGTCTTGATAGGTGCTACCCCAGGCCGGAGTTTAACATCAGCAACCAACGATGCAGATTCTTGATCTAATTTTGTGTCTACCAATGTATCAGATTGGGGAATATCACTACCATCAGTCGTTTCTGTGAGAGAAAACCCTTCTCTTCCATTCTCCGCCATATTGAAACAACTCCTTCCCAGGCCTTACGGTTGGTTTCCAAATCGAACCTAGGCCCTCGCGAGGTGTCAGGGAAATCAAAAGTAACGTCATAGTTGTTTCAATCTCTAATTGGTGGAAAAAATACCACCGCGCGCCTACAGAGCTCTAATTTCCCACCACAATACAAGACAAGTCTTTTTTACCTTTTATTTTACCCTTACCTAATTTGAATATTTAGGAGGTTTCCTCGTAAATAGAAAATTATTGTACAAGTAACTTGACAAAGTCAAATCATTGAATATGTAATTTTTCAATTGTTTTCTAGTTAAGTTAAGGTATAACATAATTGAGAAATTATGACTCTACTTTATATTGAGTTCAATTTTCACAAATTTAATTGTAGCGAATGCAGAAATTTCTAAAATCTCAATCCTATCTGGTGGAATAATATTCATCATTATGCAAAATGACTCAACTGATAAATATTTGCAATTAAAATGCAACAAGAGGATGTTTTCCCCATTTCTTCCAAGTCTTATTTTTGTCACGACTATAAAATCTACGTGAAGGAATTTACATGAATTAAAAAAAAAAACCTTTAAAAATTACATGTACTTTTAACAAAATATACAATAAATATTGGGAAAAAAAAAATACTTGAAATATGACTTCCAACTAGGTAGCTTGCATAAAAAAAAAATACTTGAAATATGACTTCCAACTAGGTAGCTTGCATAAAAAAAAAATAATATAATTAATTTTCCTGTTAGTCTTTTTAGATGTTTGAAAGAATTTAATGAAATGTCAAAGTTATCCAACCAATTGGGCATTTCAAAAATTGTTTTCCTAAAACCTAAAGACAATGGATATTTATCATCTAACAAAGCTCTTCACTCAAGGTAAAGTCTGAGAAGGAAAAAAATAATTAGCATAGTGAAGCAAGTGACTTAGTGTAATGAGGCATGCAGTGCTTAGACACTTTTTTACTGTCTTCTTCTTAAAGCTGAAAGATGATTTCAGGGATCTGCCCAGCAGATACTGATGTACCATTGGGGCTAGTGTGTTCTATGAATGTGAACATCACACCCTCTGTTTCAACAGAAGAAAATCCGTCCCTTCCACTTTGAGAACACGGGCCTTGTAACATTAAGTTTATTGTGTACACTTCATTCTTGTCGACTGCATAGGGTCTATCGAACAAAACGTCGTGTAACAAAACGCTTGTACCAGAAGAAAAAATGCGTTCACCGTCAGCGAGGACTTGGGTCTGTTTTAAGAGTTGCACGCTGGCAGTATAATCACCCTCAAGGTTGCTAGCGCCGTAAACTGCTATTCCTTTGACATGAATCGATCGGTTCACCATGAATTTTATAGCGTCGCATTTTCTTGTGTCGCAGAACCAGTCATTTCCACAACAGCTTTTAAATCTAGCGCATCGTAAAGTCTTCTTCACCAAAGTTTCTCTGGGTTTTCGAGGAATTTTGGAGAATTGAAGTTCGGTTTCGCCAGTAGAAAAGAAGTACAAGAATATGTTGGTTGTTTCTTCATAGGAAAGCATTCCAGATCTGGCAACTTCATCAGCAAATTCTAAAGGCGTCATCAGAGGAAATCGTATAAATTTCATCGCTTGCGAAGACACTGCTCTCTTGTTATCAGAAATTGGTTTAATGCCTTGGCGAAGGCATTCATTCTCTGACCAACAATTTATGGCTCTAAACATTTGAATTTCTTTCATCGATATTGTGTTTCGTTGTACCAGAAGCGACAGTGTTTCCATTTCAAGCTCTAAGAATGCCTCTGATTCTAAAACTTGAGTCGTGTATGTGTCTACCACCTCCCAACACCTCTTCTGAAGTTCTTCTTTTCCTAAATACCTCGCATGACTCAGAACCGTTAGGGCGTTCTCTGGATTTAAACTCGCTTCGACGTAATTGATACACTTAGCTGCTAACACCGGCAACATGTACTTCTCTGCTAAATAAAGAACTCCAAGGGCATTATCCAGCGTCAAAATTGCTTCGTCTGTATAAATGAAACGTAGAAGTTCCATAAAACATTCAACCTCGGAGTCACTAACGGCCACGTCTGATCCCTGTTCAGCCATACGACCGTAGAACATTGCAAGAAACACCGGGCTACTGATGGCCAAAACGTATTTATGACCGGGAATTCGGACCTTATCTTTACCCACCATGAAGTGCACATCACTGAGTATTTCGTTATTAAACATTAGCTCATTCCTTTCCCGCACAGTAGTTGCTTTGAGCTGGCATTTCTCAAAGCTTGGAATCTCGCTTGCGAACGCCATCTTTGTTGTTGTGGTTTAGTCGATAATTTTGAATGAACAAATGATTATGTAACTTGCTTTGATTTATGGGTAATGAACTTTTGTTGTCACGCAATCACGATATCTTTAACTGAACAAGAATATTGTGATAACATTTTGTTTTAGACATAATTATATACATTTGGTGAGAAGGAATTAAGTGCATTTAATTTATCAGAAGATTTTTTTTTTCAATAATTTCCAGATAAAGCATATAGAAATAAGAGCAGAAGTTTCCAAATGGGTTTACGCATCAATAACGATAATAATGAACACCGCCTTCGAATATCCTATTGAATATAACGGTTTTAATTAGCTGCAGGCTATATTGTGAAAATAACAAGAAAATCTGCACTGATTTATAACAGAAACACACAAAAAAATGAACGACACACAACTAAGAGTAATACCAAAGCGAATAAACAGTCCTTAACTTTTTCTGAGATATCTCAAATATCAAGCAAAAAAATTTCTTTCGACGGATACGCAAAAAAATTTTCTACCCACTCATCTAATACATGCACATAAAAATGCCTGAAAAGATATTCTAAATTAAAGCCTAATAATCTCGGTTTTTGTTAAAGCACGTATCAATAGACGATATTCGCAACAAAAAACAAAGCGAGTATTCATTCTTCAGATATCAAACAGAGAGAAAAATATAAATTATCCAAATCATCAGGTAAACACATTAGAAGGAGAGGGAGCAGTAAAGCCCATCAAAACTCTCAGGAGAGGATGTCACCTCTTGTCATCACTAATATATAAATAAGTTTTCGAAAGGCTGAAGAGTGTCCTAAGTAAAATGGACAAGTATTTCAATACTCCGTTGACGACGTTCGCTAACAATAACACAATTGACGTCCAAAACGTTATCAATATAAATAGTTTTCAGTTCAAGGTCATTAAGCACAGGCGTTGTAAAGTTAAATTGTTTTGAAAACGATAAAATTTCAGAATCAAAATCCAATTATAAAAGAGGGCGCTTTATATCGGCCAATTCTGGCAGAAATTGAGCTGGGCCGATCATATTTTTTCAACAGTCCCTATCAGTTGTATTTCTTTTGTGGTAAACGCAAAACTGATTTGTCGCCTGGTCCCCAGGCTAATTTCATTACAAAAATGTGTGTAAAGTTGTTGAAGGCTAGAGGAGGCTTTAGATAAGGAGCCGTTCGAAATCTGGAAGAGAGATCATAGAGTACTCCTGTCTTTGCCTTGTTTTGTGGCTTCGCTTCTGTGAGCATTGGGCTTTTGCGATTGCGCACAGCTGCAGACAAACTCCCCGACATCCATATTTTGCCAGAGGCGTCAATTCAAATTTCTTATTTTTCCGGCAACCTTTAATGGCCAGAATGCTTCAAAAGAAATATATTTTTGCTTCCGTGCGCGAGGGCAGTAGCCCCCTCTCTTTAAACAAGAAGCTATCAACACATGATTTTCAAAGTTTATTTTAACGGCTCTCAGTTATGACAACCGCGAGATTACCTGAGTTTGCTCTTAAACACTACCAGTGCTTAATTTCGAGATCATCCTTCCGGATATGTTATATTTATTCCTCATGGGAGGTGTAATATTCCGTTTTTCATCTCCAAAAAATACTCTGAATAAGAAATCAACAGCTTTTCCCCATGTTGGATGTTTCAAGTTCCTTCCATTGCATATAGCAACCAAGTAGCTGACAAGTTTGGAACGCATTACAAGTTTCAATTCTCTTTTCTACTCAAGTGCGAAACTTTGACAAAAATTGTAATTGCTTTCACCATTTAGTAAAGAACTGTCAAAATTTAACTGATAATATCGCTCTGTAACCTCTCATAGATCATGATTTGAATGTGCAAAAGTCATCTGCGATAGGTGAATTGAAGAGAGCAGGCATTTATCCTCTTATTCAAACCATATAGATGTTTATAGAACATCTCTTTCACTCTCTGCTGGTCAACTTTAGAAGTCGCGCTTTATCAATAAGTTTCCGGAACCTTATCAACAAAGTGAAATGGGATCACGTTTTACGAAGGTGTCTCTAGTTGACGGATTTGTAAAACTCGATATATATAGTTTGTGTACTGCATAGCCTGAGATAACGAGGGTTCTTGACATTCTATATAATTACCAAAAAGCATCCCGTAAATCATTTAGAAATATAAAATGTATGATGGCATTTTTCCTTGATCGTGCGTGGAAGAAATTTAATTGTTATCTGATAAGCATGAAAAAACCAATATTCGGTTGATGTAAGAGGTTTACGCCTGCCATAGGAGTCTAAGCATTTACAAACTTCTGTCACACCCACCTTATAATTACTGTTTTTATTATCAACTTTAAGAAATCAAATAATGCTAGAAAACGTCTATAAAAAGCACGGTTTTGAGCCTGTGCTGCATGCATACGAGAGTTCTTCTTCATCGAACGAAAGTAAAGGTTGAAACAAGATGTTCTCTGCCAAGGTAAGAAATGAGAGTGTCGCCGGTGCAATGAGAACAATTAGTTTATTACGAGTATGTCAGTTCAGATATGGTTTATTAGAGCAGTAAATGCTAAAGCCAAGAACAGATAGAATTGGATTATTTTTTAACTTAACGTACATGCAGGTTAGGAGCTCAGAGAAACTTGAATAGAATTTTTTCAGGAAAGAGGGTGCTCAAAGGACAAGTTTTTTCCTCCTGAATTTAGTTTCTACCGAGAAAATAGGCTGACAGTAGCCAAAAAGTTGGGAGACATACCTGTGATAGAAATTAAAGTAACACACTGAATCTGCAGAGCACTAGGCAACAATCAGTTCAACATTCACATTAGTAAAGATCAACCACAAAAGCCAGTGAGTCACTGTCTTTCAGCTTTAACTTCTTTATGATAAACCTCGAAACAGAATGGTCAGGTAAATCGACAGGAAACTCGTACTAAAATAAGCTTTGAGTTCGGGTAGTCTCGAGTTTTTCTTTCTAATATATGTTCATATAGAGATATGTGTGAATTTTTCAAATTTTTTTTTCGCATGTTTTGAGTGGCAGGGTTTGTTTCTTATGTTTTCCTTTGGATTTTTCGCGGGTAATTGGAGCGCGGCCGGCCAGAATTGATCTCTCTGCGCATGTCCCACACTTGATCGCTGTTTTGTGGAGAAGAGCCCGAATCAGTTCGTACACCGGATTTCAACGAGAGTCTTTTTTCTTTCTAGTTCCTTCTGCTCCTCTTACTGATCCAAATAACAGCAGGCTTTCCTCGGATGAATGAGCTAAAACAAGATCCACGAGGCCACTTATCTCCACCTTTGGAACTAACAAATGAAACTTTGAGGTAAACTTCCAAGAAAAAGGTCGTCAGTAGGAATTCACTACTCCACCACCCGTCTTCCTTCACGCATATCTCTGATTTGATTAAGAATTGTTACCAAGCAGTCCACATTCGAATTCGACATAGAAACCACTGGACGAATTACCACCTCTTAAATTTGCCAGAAAAAAAAAATTCAAGTTTACTTATTAAATTTTCATTCAGTCCGAGGGCAACTGATGTCCACACTTCTTACTCGTTTTCCGTTTCCATGTGATTCCAGCAGATTTAAACCCCCAATGCAGGAGAGGTACACGACATGTAAGCTATGGACATAACTTGTTCCAAAAGTAACTGCTCGTGTTTCTCCTCCCTTTGAAGATCCTCTATCAGCGTGTTTGTCACGTGTTTGGCGAATTGTCGAAGATACACGAGTATTCCTTGCCAATTTGTTTATACCTACTGCAATGATTCAGATTACATGCAATAACATTTTTAACTAAAGATATCGTCAGATAGGGCTTAAAAACAAAAGTGACTTGCTATACTGCTCTAATAAATGGTACATATTTCGAAAAACGAAAATCACTGTCAGATGGGTGATGAGACCGAAGTGGTCATGCGCACATCGATTTCATACACTTCCTGACATCACGTGAGGAGAAGTGAGGTTAGGAGAGGTGTGTTAGAAGACGTATAGTCACTTTAGATCATGTTAGTGTACAAGGTCAATAACACATTTTCTCTCCCTTTACAGCTCTTCCTCTGACGTTGCAAAACGATTCCTAAATAGTCGCGCCTGTAATGAGATCTACTCAAGAATCGATCCGCAGAAGTACTTCCAAAGCAACGACATCTTTATTCCCAGGTCTATCCTCACCGTGAAATGCGAAGGCACTCCAAATTATCCACTGCCCTGTGGTTCAACACTGGGGAGTATGCGCTGTTTGACCAGAATGGGTGACGTGGAGGTCATGCGCATACCAAATCTTCAAAAGTGCTTCTGGCGCAGGCGTGTTGTGATCAAGAATGTACCTGTAGGATGTTATTGCGAGTATTAACCTATCAAAAAGTGCTTACGAGGAATTTGGATTTTTCACGTATCTTTTGAAGGCATTGTTTAAATTAAGTGTACAGAATTAACTGAGCGCAAAATTGTCCCATATATATGTGTCCTAGATTCTCACAACAGCAAAGTTTAAAACATCTAGGCAGATAGATATACATTGTAGAGTTAAAAAAATTAAAATAAACGGAAACAGTTGCGTCAACTGTCTCGTCAGATTGTAAGTAATCAGTAGTAAAGTCCAATGACGTCACACGCTGCCGTATCTGGTTGGTGGTTAAGGGCGTAATAGGCGTGGATGAAATGAAATTACGGGTATGAAACAAAAGCTCACATTGTTTCCCCACAGACGTGCTGAATTTCATGCGCTAAAATTCGCGTGACACTATCTCCTCTTCAAATTCACTCGGAAGCATTTCAATACAAGTTATAACAATAGCTTGGTTTTATTGTGAGTGAGACTTGTCTCTTAGAGTGGCAAACTTGCTTGAACGCGCGTGCAGAATTCATGTTCGTGTCAACGGAGCGAGTGGGTTCATAGTCAAACGTTGGCCTTTCCGAATGGAGAATGTATTGTTCTCTTATTATTATTCGTGTCAACGGAGCGAGTGGGTTCATAGTCAAACGTTGGCCTTTCCGAATGGAGAATGTATTGTTCTCTTATTATTAAGGCTGGTAATTCAATAATCCGAGTAAAAGAATAGGAGCGAACTGCTCTTAGAATATCCCTAACGGTGTTGGAAGCTCACCAACATCTACTAGTACTTAAAGAAAAACATGACAGTGGCGACACGATGTCAAGAGCCGCCGGATCTTAAACAGACCCGGGTAAGTGAAGTTCTCGTCCGAAAAAAAAGAGTACCTGCAAAACCGTTCCTAATGGGAGTAAATCAAACGTGTCTGAAGAAAGACCGAAAATTTGATAATAAATTAGATGATAGTCAAGGAACACAAATACGACTGATAATCGATCGATTTGTCGACTTGAAACCGGAATCAACAAACGAGTAATCGTAAAGTGGGCTTTTTAACATACAAACTGACTTGTCATTCATAAATCTATCACTTTTGTGTTTAATTGCTTGCTCTTTTGAGAATAGTGCAGAGGGAAAATTTGTTTTGATGCAAAGTACTCGTTTGTTTTTTGCTATCCCTTCTATTCTCATTAAAGTTGTAAATTAATTATAGAAGAAGGTGTAGTGCTTCCAAAAATTATAAAGGATTTTGTCCGGTGACTTCATAAGTAGGTCTACGGGTTTGAACATCGGGGACATCGGATTATGAAAAGCCTTGACACCACTCCTTAGACTTCTGTACTCATTATAATTAACTGCAATTGGCATGACAACGAAGCACTAGCGACCTCACAGACTCAGATCTCCAGCCCGGTGAAAAATGTTGAATTGCAAGTTACTTCGATGTTCATCACAAAGTGTGTAAATTTAGGTTCAACATGACACATAATAAAATTATCGATCCAAATTGAAAAACACGCTCATCGATTCATATATCCCAGCTTCATCAGGAGGTTTTCAATACGAATGTCTTTAGTATATACTAAAACATTGGATAGCGTTGAAGCGCGCGCTCCCGGCTGACTTCTCAAACACCGAGTACCCTTGCTATTCACCTCCAAGCGACTCAAGTGGGATTTACGCCCCAAAATTTTGTGTTCACTGCTGGAATAAATGATTTAAAATCATCTTTTTGTGGTAATATGTCTCACTGTTTTTAGTATGTACTAAAACAACTCTGCACCACAGTGTCAGATATTTGCACCATCAGTGGCCACCTGTTCGGCGTATGATTTTTACATATTTTCGAGCTAAATGGGGGTCGGGATGTATATGATTTATATTTATCAATATTATTACTCTTCAGAGTGAATTTATGAACACATCAGTTTGCCTTCTCTTTTGCAAAAGAAAAGTAATTTCCTTACTTGAATACACGTGAACAGAAGACTATCGTCGTATTGTGCACCAGGTTTCAGAATTACGGAATTCACGTGGGGAATAACATTAGGTATTCCTCCAGTTTGAACTGGGAACATAATTGGTCACGCGACGCCTTTAAACTATTCGCGCGTGGGCAAAAATACTTGATGGATTTCAAGACCAAGAACTTCGTTGTTTACCGCAACAATACTGAACAAACAGGTGCATTACTAAGGAAATCAGAAATTACCATAGGAAAACGAGATAAGAATAGCAAACTACTTGGATCACTGTTCGAGGCATGAGTATCAAACTTTTCGACGATAAAGGCCCATAAAAAACTCCACTTTTGATTCATACATGGAGACAACTGTGTTTAAGCTAATTAAGGTAAGGTGGTCACAGTGCTTTCTCGTTATACATAAATTAATTGTCTCATGTACGGAAGAAAGTACAATAAATGGATTAAAAACCCATCTAATAAGATAAGAGAAAATGTCGATTAATAAGCCAGGATCCGTCCGCTTTTCAGTGGCTTTAATGTCGTAATCATATAAGAACAGCACTAACCTGCATAAATTTGCCAATCAGATCACTGTGTTCATTGCTTGGTAACAGACCCAAGTAAAACAACGCCAACAGATCGATATTTAAGAGTGACAAAAACAGCTTATTAGTTGCTGATCAGTTTCGACTCTGCTGGCTAAGAGCTGTGTATTGAAGTGCAGATTTCCAGCTGACGTGAAGTTTTCATGCTAAAGTGTAAGGTTCTATCCGTTTGCTCACGGAGCAAGATACAGAAGGCCAATTGCCAAGTTTTCAAGCACCAATTGTTCCTTTGAAAAACATTGTAAGTATGATTGTTATTCTCTTTCCCCTAGAGATATAAAGTCATCTTTTAAACCTGCCGTAATTTTCGCTAGATCCGTCGCGAACAGAGCTATTGATGAGATGATGCCGAAGCAAATACGTGTGAACTCAACGTAGCAGACTTTTAGACGCCATTTTAAAATTAAGCACTTTTTGTTATCTAACATATAAAATTGTGATGAAATTTGGGATGCAGCATAAATTGAAAGAATAAAATTTTGATGCAACAAGTTGCTCTATTGAGTTTTAAAAAAATAACGTCGATTTCAACTTTGCACAGCTCTTCATTTCGACTTGGGCATACGAAGAAAAAAACACTATCAAAGCGGGAGATTCGCGTGCACGCCAGTTTTGCATTTTACGACTGAAATAATGTTAACGATGCTATGAAAGAAAAATTTTTGAACAAAGAAATTTTCCACTAAAAGACTATGTTATCGACAATTGAGAATATCAGTAATGCATTCTTGCGGTAAGAATAATCTTTTTTATCCCCCCATTAAAAAAATTGGCAAATTTTGACGCTTTCATTGAAACGCCGAACTTTAACACCGGCACTCTAACTTGATTTTGAGAACCCACTTTACCTAAGACGGGAAATTTTCAAGTAATGATACATTTCGCCGAGTTGTAATTTTGAGAGCTTGGCGCACGAAAAACAGGTAAGAGGTCAACAAGCTGCCCCTAAGCTAGAGCATAACAAAAATTTTCTTCGCTCCTCGGTGCGGTGCACTTATAGGACATCGCAAGAATTTTTCCCGAAAACACGAACGCACTTTTCATACGCTTGCACGCCACTGATCACGAATATGCGAACAGTTGACGCAATAAGAATTTAATTACTGGGACAATGAGTAAGGTATGTACCAATTACCCACGAGAAGACAATTCTTTTATCCCAATGTTGAACCAACGTACCTATTCACACTGCAAGTCGCAATGTTCCATCTGCAATGGCTGGCAATAGAAAAAATAGACATAAAATTTAGCGTAACACAAGCAAGTGGTAGTATTTTTGCCTATATAATTCAAGATAATGGTTTTCTGTGGAGGGAGGGAAAGAGAAAAACTAGGAGATAAACCCTTTGATCAGGAAACAAAACTAAACCAAACCAAAAACAAACTTAAAAATCTACTGGATGTAAACGAGGTATGAGGATTTCAGACCGTGCTCAAGTGTCTGGAGGAAAATGTTCTCTCTACCGAGGCCTTTAGAAGCGATTTCGTTTCATTCCAACACAGTCCCAAATATTCAGCATGTTCTCTTTTCCATAAACGATTGTTTGCCCCTTCTGGTTTTTCGTCTGACAAAATCACCTTATGAGAGCACAGATATGGTGCACACTCTACTGAAGTTAGATAGTTCAAATTCTTCTTATCAATGTCGACTTACATCTTGTTAAGTCGTACAAGGCAAGAGAAAACAAAGGACTTAGCATATACATGCATATATACGCACATACGCGGGTTAAAACATGGATTTGTTGGAAATAGGCCAAGCGTAGAAAGTAGATTTCGATAATATAATCCTCAAATCGTACTTTCGAAAGATTCCCCCGGCAAGAGCAATACATATCATATGGAGACTTCACCTAATTTGGTGGAGAGTTCTTGACAACGGCGCAAAGTTCTGTTTCTGATTATAAGAGGTTTCTAGCGATATTAAATAGCCAAGAAACAGTGTTTCTTGTTGCTGCGAGGTAGGTAGTTAATATATACTTTTTGCACCCTGTAAAAAATTGCAAAACTTTCTGAGGAGAAGGTCAGTCACGGTTTGATTTGCATTATTTGTTGGGCTTTTAAACCTGCATAATGCATGCATTACTTTATCTGTTCTCACTTGAATTCAAATTCTTGGTATGCAACACTGATGCACACCTGACTTTAAGATATTGTTGGGTGATGGTTCATCAAAGCTTTGTTATTCTTTTTGCGAGTGTGAATATGCTACCATTGCTGAAAATGTGAAAAAAAGACAATAACAACTTGACTAGAACAACTTCAGCCTGACCCATTGATCCAAGTAGCCTGGCGGGTATTTTTGTGATACAGATGAACATTCTTTGATTCAGATCTGTTGAAACTCAGGCTTTTCGCAGCCTTGAGAAGATGAATTTGGAGAGGTAAAAGTTGAACTAGGGCTCCTTTGTCATAACTTGTGTGGACCGTGTAGAGTTATTTCGGAAGAAAGACAGTTATAAAGATATACCTTACATTGTTAAGACTCTTTTTGTATAAAACCATAAAACATGCATCAAAAAACAAATTATCTTGTTTACAAGAAATTGTGCCGACCGCTGTTAATTCTTCTTAGCTTGTTTGCTATTGATTCGTCTATTTGTTTACCAATTTTCTGACAGCAAACCTTCAATCAGCTAACATCATTGCTAAGGGAAATCACACTAACTAAAATTGTCCATAAAATAAACTCCCAGCGTAGCCTTCGGTGTCTTTAAATCCCTCGAAAGCCGATGAGTTATGCATCGATCATATTTCATTGGCCAAATTTTGAGCCAAGTAAGTTAGGCATGGATTTGATAACCATAACAACTGGGACACAAATCCAATTTAGTTATGAATTGCCTTACTCAAAGAGACATTTGAACCCTTCGGAATGTACTGCTTTGGAAGTTTCGAGCATTGAAATACAAATGTACAATTGCGAGAACACGGTGGTTTTTTTAGTTGGAGTCTTAACCCTGATCTGGAAACCTCTCTTATAATGGGCATGATTGCGCGTCTTGGAAAGTATTTGCGGAAACTATTTCACTAAAACTCTTAAAACTTGCTACAAATGTGTCGGATTTACTATAATCAGTGTCGGCAAACGTAACAACTGAAGAGAGACAAGGCTCTAAAAACGTCTTTGTTTTGACAAATATACTAATAACGTTAGTTTCACTTAATACCTCAACTGTTTTGTTACAATAAGCGGCTTAAAAACCGAGAAAATTAAGACAGTTGATACGAGGTTAAAGCTTAATTGATCTGTGATCCCATTGCTTTTTGTCATATCAAGCAAAAACAAAATTTTACGTAATCGGCTCTTATCTCAGTGGTAGTTACAGCTTTACAAGTGATTAAAAGAACTTCTTTCAGAAAAACAACACAATTTAAGTGTGAACGTCAATACTGAAAACTTAACTGGAACAATGTATATCAGTTGCCTTTCTCTCTTCCTTTCATCTTCCATTCTCTCTGACAGTTATTTTCTACGCTAAACTAATTTTGGACTATGAAAAGAAGTTGATAGAAGGTTTCTCACGAGCGGAGAAAAAAGGTGTGTGGTGTGATGAACTTATCAGCCGAGATAGAGTAGGAACGGTGGTACACAAGGAGCATGCGAGTTAAATTCGACTGTATTTCTAGATGATACAACATTACTACAGTACGACTCGTTGTTGCTGCATACTTGATCACTGTTACATGCGATAGCGATACAAGTCTGTTGAAACCCTACCAATGATATTGATTAACAAGGTAACCTTTCCGTTCACAGCACAGTAGGAAAGTGACACTCTCCGTACGAGACTCAAAGTGCCGAGACACTACCTACGCTAGTTAGACCCTCAGTAAATACTGTACGCGGTTTTCTTCATAGGACTTAACATACGTCAAAGTGCAACGACGGTGATTGCGTGTTTTAACGATTACTCAACAAAATCGGTCACGAGTGAAGAGTTTAAGTGAAATACATTCAAAGTTAACTCTTTCGGCTCGTGGATATTATGGAAGCAATTTTTGATCGTGACATTCTTTTTAGGATTTTGAAAATCTGAGACCCTATTCAATGCCGTTTTTTTTTTTACAAGGATTTCCACCCCTGAGAAAAGCCGTAATGGCACACTTGTAAAATTACGTGTGTTTTATTTCGCCAATCAGCTGCTGATAGGTCACTCGCCTTCCGCGGCACCCTGTCAAGTCGATGGATCAACGGTAAAATACCATTAATAATGACTTGCAGCATTTGCACGCATCATTTTTCGTTTATTCCAAAGAAATCAGTGCAACTGGATATAAAGGAAGAGAGAGTCTACTTGCTGCAGCTCAACGAGTAGACTATTTCATAGGCTGCACGGAACCCCTGTAAGTGAACTGTCTGCTTCATAGACAAAATTGATGCGGGGCAGTGAAGAAACTAACTTTCCCTTAGAGTTCCCTGAAGAATAATTAGAAACTATTTCATTTCGATACGTAGGTTTTTCCAAACCAAAGATTTAAAAATATCGTCACCATTGGCATCATAAGAAGAAAAGGTCACGATACGTGCGGTTTCATTTTGCATACAAGGGATTTGCTACCGTTAGTCAAAAGTACACTGCAATAATCGAGATGACGTTGCGCTAAAGAATTATATATATCGCCAGTAGTCCTTCAAAATAAAACGAAAGGCCGACTTCTCTTTAAGATACCAATTATGACAGCTGCAATCTTCTTTGAGAACTTATCGACAGGCACATTACAGGACAAGTTCTCGTCACATAAACACCTGCAAGAGATTTAGTGGATGCAAACTGACAAATAGAGGCATTGCCAATTACAATTGACGGGGTTGTAGAACTTCTTTAACCTTTACCTTGACCCAATTAACATTAAATCCGTTTTCGACATATTTAAAGTCAGAATATTTGCCACTAGCACCTTGGTGACTTTTCCGACGTCCTCGTCAAAGCGTTCAAGGTGTGCTACGTATTACTGTCAAAAGTCAAGAAGGTATCGTCGGCATTCATTCCATATTGAGCATTAGAGTAACGATTTGGTAGGCCTTTTATATTGTATAAAGAGAAGAGGGCCAAGGATTGTGCCTTGGGGAATGCCACAGCGGTCAGGTGTACTCTCTCAGACAGTCAGCATCTCCATTATCTGACAGAGTGCCCCTCACGAAACACTTTAGCATATGAAAATCAAATTCAATTTAAACAAGTTGTGTAATGCATAGTCCCCTCTATTAACTATGTGTAATGTTATAGTTTAAAATATATGAACTTCATATATTCATTGTATCTCGTTATAGTTTAAATAAGACGATGGAATGGTCTACAGTATGGACAGCTTTCTTTACTTCAAGGAAATCTAAAACGACTGTATTTACTTTGTCGATTTTAAAAGCCCAACCATCAACAGCAGCGACAGTTGAGTGAAAGGATCTCCTGGATTTCTCCTTACTGCTCGTGTGTTTTCCTTGATGTCGGTCAATTGATGTACAAAGTCTTAAATAGGTCCTTGTCTAGAAATTCATTTCTGTTATGTTGTTCCTTGTCTCGTTTTATTTCATAATCAACATCATTGCGGCATTTCTTGAATTTAAGCCAGTCATTAATAACGATACACTGCGTTTTTACTATCCTTCCGGTTAAGAATATCTCGATCACGTGTATCTTTTTTTCTTTTTTTTTTTTTTTTGCGATGTGCTGTGTTCAAAGGTGATTTGAGCGCACGTCTACATTTCATATGTGGGATGCTTTTCCAAGCTAGTTTACACTGCCCGAATTTTTCCGGGAAATATCATGGCAAAAGCTAGCTGAATCGAAATTTTTTAATTTCGTGTAAGTCATTGCAATTCTCCAATGAAAAATTTCCGAAAAGCATAGATTAGACCATGGTACCCCGAACAAACAACCATGTCCAAGCAATTTGTGTATATTATATCAATAAGAGTTGAAGATTTGCTGGTCATGCGGGTTGGGCTGTTTATCAGTTGATAGAGACGCTAGACGACAGCTAGAGTAGAAAATAAAAGCGTACTGTTGTCGGTTTGATTACAGTTGAAATCGCCCTATAAATTGATTTTCGGCATTTTCAGTATCAAGTTTTCCAACTAAGGTTTCAAAGCGAGAGAATATTTCTGTTGGTAGGTCAAGAAGGTTATTCCAGGTAGCAATGAGAAAAGGTTGGATCTGGGTTTACGAATTTCAATTTAAAAATACAATTTTTATCACAATTGGTAGAAATGTCGTAATCTGATTGGCTAATTACAGTTGTCGACAAGAGGACAGACAACGTTGCTCGCGTCAACGTGGGCTCAATGTTGTGGACTCACGAGGCGCCACGACACGGTAAACTACTGTCGATTTTTTAATTATGCCGGAACGAACATAGAAATCATTTTTATGTACGACTTTTGTGCTCGTCAAAGTGTATCCAAACTGAAGGGCAAAAAAGAAAAGGAAATTGAAACTTAGAGAAAAGAAAAACCACTTCCGATCGATCTGGTCACTTGTGCAGCATTATTCGCCATGATCTGAAATGGATCTGTTGTCGTACCTACATCTACATCTACATCTTAAAAATGAAATGTATTCCTTTCTTTTCCAGGAACTAAAAATATCCTGTTTAAGAGCATTACATTTTGGTTCGTCATGAATGACTCACATCATAGAGGAAATAGCAGCAGTGGAGGTGACATTGAGTTTATTGCCATCACTGCCACATTGTATGTCGTCGTCATTATCGCTTCATTTCTGGGAAATATCACAATTTGTGTCGTCATATTCAGCACCAGATCACTGCGGCGATCCGTCAACTCAATTTTTATCCTCTCACTCGCAGTTTCTGATCTAACGACGACATGCCTGGTGATGCCGTTTGACTTAGAACATTTAATTTCAGGCAGCAAATGGCATCATGGTGAGGTGATGTGTAATATATGGACAACAACTTACCTACTTGCAGTACCAACGTCCATTCTTAGCCTGTTGGCTTTGACAGTTTATCGTTACCGACTCCTACAAGACCCTCTAGATATCTACAAATCATCCCCGCTGATGACTCGCAGGCGCGCCCTTATGGTCGTCTGCTGCTTATGGACATACTCCATGCTCTTTTCACTCGTCCCACTTTTTGGCTGGAAAACCTACCCTAGAAGTGTCATTGGTGGAAAATGTTATTTTAATGGCTCTTGGATTTATTCGGTCTTGAGTTCGCTGATAAATTTTGTGATGCCAGTAATAACTGCTTCCTTCCTTAACTGCAGAATGTTCTGCCTTGCCATCAGGCTCTCACGCAAAACCTTGAGGGCCGTTGAGCATAGCGGCAAAAACCGGCACGGTTCAAGTTTCAGTACAACGATTCAAAACTGTTCACCCTACAAGAATGAAAACGCTGAGACACCACTGAAATCCAAGCCCTGTAATCGCCGTTACAATCGGCAGATTGTTGATGACAGGCAGTTATACCAATCTGCACAGCGCGAAGACTTTCTTCTTAAGAAACTACAAAAGCGCAACAGTCGTGCAGCTAAGACAACCATTCTGATCGTTTTCTCCTTCGTATTATGCTGGTTTCCGCACACATTATGGAGCATAACGTATAGTTTTTGCAAAGAGTGTTTCATCAACGTCTCATACAGTCTTCTTAGCTATATGTCAACATTTTTTCTCATGTTGGGTTATCTGAACTCGGCCTTAAATCCAATTTTATACAGCTTTCGCACTCCAGAGTTTCAAAAAGCTGTCACCAGATCATTAGCGAAAAGGTTTGCCTCATCGAAAGAGCATTCGGGGAGAAAATCATCACACCCTCGGTTGAGCCTTACAAAGAGCACCAGTGTGGATCGGGAGACGAGGCTCTAATCAAACAGTAGAGAACACAAGTCATCATGGTCATCAAGTTTCTAAGTTCTCATAATACCCTAAGTGTTTATTTGTCATAACTTGATCATAGAGTCATTTTCAATTGAGAGACGAAAGTAATCTGAGATTGCATTGGTTTAGCTTTATTTCGCTCTGTGATTGGTCCAGAAAACTCGCTTGACTCTCTCAACCAATCCGATGCAAAACTAACACCAATCATGACTTGGTCACCTGCGTTTTCCCGCGCTTTGGGCTTTACTTCGCTCTGTGATTGGTCCAGAAATTCGCTCTCCTCTCTCAACCAATCAGATGCAAAACTTACACCAATCACGACCTGGTCACCCGTGTTTTTCCCGCGCTTCCGGCAATTTGCTTGGTTTTATTTGTACTTCTCATTGGTTCCGTTAGGATATTTTCCTTTCTTCTGATTGGTCATAGGGATAACTTTGGTTTTGGTTTTACAACACTCAATGGAAAAGTGCAGTACGTATGACGTCTGTGAATAAAACTCAGTGTAATTGTTCGATGTTCGTTGATATACATATTCGGTCTAAGCTGTTGTGAGTGGAACGAATACATCAAACTTGCATGTAGAAAAAAACTGATATTTTTCTAGAGCGCAAAGGTTATAGCAGTTTCCAAACGAGAGATGTTTTATTATGGTTTTCCGACTTTCGTCGTGTGAACAAAATGGACAGGAACATCAGAAGCGAAGGAAAGCTACGACATTTCAAAATTTTCTCTTGTGCATCTATTGCAACGAGACATAAATGTCGAACTTGGAGTATAAAATTGTTCCAACTGGGGGAAATTACAAGTTCAACTAATTGGAAAGAAAATGAAGCCCACTTTCATTGAAACCGCTTTTTCCAAAAGGACTTCTGATCAGAGCTTCCCGGTTTTTCACCTTCTCAAACGTTGGTAAAAATAAATTTCATTCATATGGCCGGCTTCTTTTGTAGAGAATATTTTAACATCATTGTCAATAAATGTCGTCAATAAATGAACTTCAGTTGCATCAGCTGGTAGTCCGATTATTAAATTGTGACAGACATTGTCAATCGATCTTTCTGGACGATGGTGTGTAAACATCTTTATTACTTTCTTTTATTAGCTTCGCCGACAGGCAGGGACACCGAAACAGCTTGCGCCAATTACAGCGGGCCCGGTAAACCCACCCATCCCACCCAGGGGAGGACATCCATCACACAGTAATCTCGTGCGTGGGAAATTAACGTCTCCTACCCCTAACCCTGCAGGAGACGGGACCTACGTTTATTCGTCCCTATCCGAGAAGACTGGAATAACTAACCATTTCTTGATGTTATAGAAAGGCAGCATATTCTTCTCAATTATTTTAAGACCTTGAGTGTTGGTCCGGCCGGGGCTCGAACCCTCGACCTCCCGCACAACAGTCCAGCGCTATCGATTAGAGTCATCTAAAAACCTGATTCCTTGTTAAAGGCTGATAGTTTCTAAAGAGACTGTTTGGCGATGCGTCGGTGGGGGTAAAGAAATAATTTGATTATATCAACAAAGTTGAAATGGTAAATTGGCCACCATTACGGTTATAAAAGCTGACGTTTCGAGCGTTAGCCCTTCGTCGTTAGCCCTTCGTCGTTAGCCCTTCGTCGGAGCGAATGTTCCCTTGTTAGATACACAAGGAAGTCAAGAAGTTAGCAAGACTCTCTCTTGAGATCCGAAGAACAAAAAAGGCAGGTATGATCCAAAACCCATGTCGTTCAGTTCATTTCCAGAAATTCGACAAAGCTAGTAGTTCGCGATGAAAAGAATAACAAATGGTGTTCTGATGACAACCATGAACCTTTCCAAAGATGACTGTCATAAAAAAATTACAGATTTCATATTTCATGTCGACCATTGAATATCATGACGGGTACGTCATCCACAGACTATTTCAGCTTTCAAGATAGTTGACTTGTAAGGGAAAAGAGTGGTCAATCCTAGCCTTTTCGAGATGCTTACAATAGTTTTAGTCCAACATACGAGCCCAAGACCACTTGGTTTAATCACCTGAGTTGATGATAATATGAGTTGACCACCGTAAAGAAATTCTTAAGCTGACATTTCGAGCGTTCGACCCTCAGCAGAGCGGAGGTTTCAGGGCTTACTCTTTTCTTGCGTGTTCATTCAGCAAAACAAACCGCGCGTTTCCCGGCCGCTCGATGTGTCGGTCGTAGGTCGGTCGTACGCAAGTCAAAGATCTAAGCCCTAAAGACGAAATACTAAGTAAGTGACGCTGATCGACGCGAAGGAATGGTCAAATACGAATCTGCGAGACCTTCGTTGTTGTTGTTTTTTCGTATCAGACTATTCGCCTTTGTTAATACTTTGAAAACATATTTGATAAAATGATTGAGAACCAGTAAAGAGACTGTATAGTATTATTAAATAACATCGTTATTCTGGCAGGGTAACAGCTTTTTTTCGTTCACAGTGAATGTTAATAAAAAGAACTGAGTAAATGCCGAAGAAGTCTTTTGAGGAAAACACAGGAAGTCTTTTTGCATGCGTTATTTGATATGTAAATTACTCTTTGAAGGTAACAACAGCTGTCATCTGAAGCCCGAATTAGCAGCCTTTGTAGGGGACATTCTCTTTAACAAATTGAAGTCAAATTTCCATCGTCTCTAACCTTATTGATCATAGAAATGACGTCAACAATGTTCAAAACTAAAGTGAAACCACGATGCGCAGCCGTACTCATTTTCTTTGTTTGTTTTCTTCCACGTTTTCGTCCGTTTCGACCAATTCTTCAAAAATTGCTTCCTGTCATTTTCTTTGTTTGTTTTCTTCCACGTTTTCATCCATTTCGACCAATTCTTCAAAAATTGCTGCTAGTATCCCAGTCTTAAATTGGGCTGGAAACTCTTCGCTGTCCACATTTCTAATATTTGCAAATGTTTCCGCGCGAAGAAATTTTTCTCTGACAGATTGCTGAGAATTGCGTGACATGATACGTCATTTTTATTATCTATAACCTTTTTGGCAATGGCCCTCGACCAATGAGCGCGCGAGAATTTCCACGGTCACTGTAAAATATCTGATTAACGGTGCATATGATGACGTCACCACGTTACAAATATTGCATCAAGCATAGCCTAGTTCAGCCTCGGGAAAGGTCGATGAAGCATCTGGTTTTCTTTACATTCTTTCGCAGACAAGCCAGCTTAGTCAAAGTACCGTGCGTATCGAGGGAATTTTAATCCTTTTCAACTTTAGAATATCCCGTCGAATCACTACATTGACAGTCATGTTAGTCTTAAGGCTGTCCTCTAAGTTCTTTCTGAGTTAATCGGCGACATTAGCAGTTTACAAATCTATTTCAAACTACTTTGAAATGGATGGCTTAATTACCTACCAAATTTGATCAAGAGACATAAATCCTAGCGCAAGTAGTATTGTAAAACAAAAACACTACTGTTTCGTTTAGCATCTAATTTTGGTTCAAGTCAATCACATGCCTGTTAGATTCATATCGCAATACTTCCTACTTTTTTCATTGTTGCAGGCCTTGTGAGGAATAAAGGTTCTTGTTCTCTATGAATGAGTTAGAAAATGCGATTAACTCGACCGCCTCGCCTGCCACTCAGAATCTGAAGGCTTCACCATTTATGGTCACATTTTCCATATTTTACGTCATCATCATCATCGCCTCGCTCCTAGGGAATTTCATAGTTTTTGTGGTCATACTCAGCACCAGATCCCTGCTGCAATCCATCAACTCTAGCTTCGTCCTCTCCCTGGCAGTTTCTGATCTGACAACAACTTGCCTGGTGATGCCTTTTGACCTAGAGCGCATTATTTCATTCAAACTCTGGAGACACGGCGAGATCATATGCCAAGTATGGACAACAACTTACCTACTTGCGGTGCCCACGTCCATTCTAAGCTTGTTGGCTTTGGCAGTTTATCGATATCGACTCTTAAAAGACCCTCTAGATATCTACAAATCCTCACCGCTGATGACTCGCAGGCGCGCCTTTATAGTCGTCTGCTGTTTATGGGCATACTCCACGCTCTTCTCACTCGCCCCAGTCTTTGGCTGGAAACGGAACCCAAGAAGTGTAAATCACGGATACTGTCATTTCAACGTCTCTCTGATTTATTCAGTCTTGAGTTCGATGATAAATTTTGTGACACCAGTTATAATCGCTTCTTTCCTGAACTGTAAAATGTTCTGCCTTGCAACCAAAAGGTTGCAACCTCCAAAAGCTGGCCGCAGAAATGGCAAAATTCAACAAAACCCAACGAGACCAAGTCCAGTCCAAGACGGCGCCAACTCACCCCCAACAGAACAACAGGTCATTGAATCGATGCGATCACAACATGAAGCCATCCTCATCAGAAAATTACAACGACGCAACACCCGTGCAGCAGCCAAGACAACATTTCTGATCGTGTTCTCGTTCGTGGTCTGTTGGCTACCCTTCTCATTTCTGAGTATCATTGCAACTCTGTGCTTGACTTGTGCTCGAAAGAACCCATCCTTTCTCATGGAGATCTTTCTTATGATGGGTTATCTTAACTCAGCCATTAACCCCGTTTTGTACAGCTTTCGCAGTTCCGAATTTAAGAAAGCGGTTAAAGATTTCATTAGAAAGAAGCGCCTCTTTCGAGTTGATCAAATCAGGACCAAGAACACGTACGCTATAGAAAGGCGGACACCAACTCTACAAAATATACCTTCCACTGACGATTTTGGAGTCAATTTGAAATTTTATAATCGATTTGATAGTGCTAAGGGGAGCTGTGAGGTAAATTTGTAACTCTCTCTCGTCACATACCTTTGAAAAAGTGAGAGTTCGACGGAGAAGACAAATCAGAGTATATGAGCGCACTGAGGTACCCACACAAAGGAAAATATCAATAGCGAACACTATCATCAATATTGGAGAAGTATTATTGTAATTATAATAAAAGGGTGAATATACATTTAAATGTAAAACTCTCAGCTTGTTTCTGATTGTCTCACGTATGCTGAAAGGGAGAAATAATATACCACTAATTTTATTTCTCTTTTCTCCCAAGTTTTTCTCAATCAGATTCCTCTTTCTCTTCTACTCTAATGTATGGCTTTCTACCCTGTATTCAATACGTTTAAAATATCTAGAGATTTATTTGAAAAGGCAGGTCACCTTTAAGTCTGGTACCTAGATTTGTTCGTATTGCGTCTAGAAAGCTCATCAGGCTGACGACTGAGTCATTATTAGCGATGTTAGCGTGCGCACTCTTGAAAAGAACACCAGACATTGTACAGATCTCAGTCATTTGACCAAGAGCGTTGCCTAAGTGTTTCAGGTTCTTATTCAGGGTTCCACCTTTTGATTGGAGTTCGTACAGTTTGATAAAGATCTGCTCGAGTGTATCTCTAAGTCACCTCTTCCTTAACGGGAAGCGGTAAATCGTTGCTGTTTTAGATGTTCTTTTATTTAAAATCTTCAAAACAAGCCAGCAAGCTTGGCCAGCAGGGCTGTGTGGCATAACGTTGCATGAGAAATAATCGGTGATTAGTTTTTTTCGATAAGCGCGAAATTTTTCCACTCACGATGAGACTTTTTCAACTAAGAATAATTTGCATACAAATGGGACGTATTTCTTCAATCACTGTGTTTATTTTTTACTGAGAATAATTTTCAGACTAATTACAACGTAATTTCGAAAAGGCATTTTTGTCCACTTTGATGATCTATACTCCGATTCGTACTCTTCTATACTTCGGTCATGGCCAATTTTGGGAGCCCAAGACTTCCAGACTTCTAGCCAGTTGTTTGTGCTACGTTGGTTGTCTTTGTTTTACCATTCTCCTTCAAACTCTAAATAGTCCGTTTTACAGTTGCATGCTTGGTTGCCAAGCCTTTGAATGGGAGTGAGGCTAAGGATGACCTTGTTATGATAGAGACGTTGCTGCTTTTCAAAGGTAAATTACTTTGTTATCATGCTAAATAGATGCTGGTCTCTATCACAATAGGGTCACCTTCAGCCTCACTCCAAATCAAAGGCTTGGCAACCAAGCGCAGAACTGTAAAATGGCTTACTAAGACTATGACTTTCTACCACCTGGCCCACCATTCTGTTTTGTTGTGCTTTCGCGACTCTCCTGTCAGTCAATTTGATTTATAACATAACCAAAGTAAAGCGCGCGCTCTGATTGGTCAATTTAGAGTCCCCCATTTGCCCATGGGTGTACGCTGCTGACGTGAGCAAATGCAAAGACTATTTTTCCGCGCGCGCTTGTTTTTTCTGGTCACGTAAGATTTGTTAAATAAAAGGGAACTCTTTAGCTACAATGTATCAATGTTATGTTATAAAACAAATGGTAAACACCACAGCGTACACTATTGAGTTATGGATACACGCGAGAAGTTTGCTAAGCACGAAAGAAGCGTAAGAGTCGCTCGAGGCGATAGCCGAGAGTGACTCTAGCTTCTTGAGTGCTTAGCAAACCTCCCGCGTGTATCCATAACTCAATAGTGTACGCTGTGGTGTTTACCATTTGTAAATTCAACCTTTTTACAATTGATATCAACTTTCAACTCTGTTTGGGATTAATTGACGTGTTCTCAAGCAATGAGCTTGCCGTATTTTGCAAACATGGTATTAAATTGTGAATGACATAGTCGGTCGTTTATTATGGAAACCTTTTTCTCATCGTAAAGGGTCAAACAGGGAGTAGAAAGTCAAAAAGTTAGAAGCAAACCATTCTCCTGAGATCCTAAGAACATAAAAGACAGGTCTGATTAAAAAAAACTTTATCAGCTCCAGAATTCGAGGGTGACACTTGATTTGCTGGTCAGCGATAAAGAGAATCACAAATGATAATTTTATTCTTGAGGTGCAAGTTAGTGTTGAGTAATAATAAATAATAAATTTAATACTTATATAGCGCAAAATTCATTATAAGTATATGATGTAACGCGCTTTGCAATAAGTTAAAATATATATCTAAAAGAAACCGGGGAGAATGTGGTAGTTAAATTACAAAATGAAAAAAAAATTATTTTTTAACAATAAATTAAAAGCGATAAAAAATCTATATGGTACATAGTCTCAAAATGTTCACGCAGTTAATAGTAGGCTGTGAATGACAATCAAAAACCTTTCTGAGGTTGGTTATAAATTTCTTCTTTGTACATGTTGAACATTAAATGTTATGACGGCCTAAGTAATCCAGAGACCATTTTAGGTTTTAGGATGACTGACTTTTACGGACGGAAATGGTCAATACTACGCTCAGCGAGCTGTCAATGATATGTGAGCGGACTAAAGTTTTATATTAGTCTAGAAATGGAACCTACAACTATCATTTCGCTAGTTACACTCGAAGACAAATCACGACGCCTGGATTACAAATCAGCTACAGAAAAAAAACGTATAGCAGACTTTCTAGTCCTAGTAGCGGCCATGTTCTTGCCTGCTCTTTCGGCGCGTTTTCTTTCAGTATGTCAGTAACTGTGTAATATGTTGGTCATATGGATGCCCGCCTAGCAAAGATTAAAGACCTCAAGAATAGTTCAAAGACTTCCTAGTTTCCAGGCACCTCGTCCGTGCAGTGTTCTCAAACGGATTTTAGAAGAATGGGCTAGTCACTTTCCTCGTTTATTCAAGAGATGAGAAATGCAAGCGAATATACTACCGTAAGACAAAAAATAGGATCGTTTAATGCATGCAACATTTGATTTATGTTTCAGCCTATCAGATGCTAGTACGTGTATGCATATTTAAAGTTGTGACAGCTAGCAATGATTACTACTTTTTTCATTGTTGCAGACGTAGCAAGGGAAAAAAAGGGTTCTTGTTCGCTATTAATGAGGTCAGAAGATGCGATTACCTCGAACGCCTCGCTTGTCATTCACAATCTTTTAAAAAGCCCCACCATTTATGGTCGCATGTTCTATAGTTTACGTCCTTACCATCATCGCCTCGCTCCTGGGGAATATCACAATTTGTGTGGTCATACTCAACACCAGATCCCTGCGGAAATCCATCAACCCGTGCTTCATTCTCTCCCTGGCAGTTTCTGATCTGACGACAACTTGTCTGGTGGTGCCTTTTGACCTGGAGCTGATTATTTCATTCGACCGCTGGAGACATGGCGAGATCATGTGCGATGTATCGACGACCACATATTTAATGGCAGTGCTCACGTCCATTCTAAGCTTGTTGGCTTTGACAGTTTATCGATATCGACTCCTAAAAGACCCTCTAGATATCTGCCAATCATCACCGCTGATGACCCGCGGGCGCGCCTTTATAGACATCTGGCCCCGGTTGTTCGAAGGATGGATAACGCTACACACCGGACAAATCTTCTATCCGGTGGATAGCGCAGTACGTTTAGGTAACACTTATCTGCTGGATAGCGATTTATCCGTTGGATAGCGCTATCCGCCCTTTGAACAACCGGAGCCTGCTGTTTATGGACATACTCCATGCCCTTTTCACTCGCCCCAGTCTTTGGCTGGAAACCGCTTCCAGAAAGTGTGAATTACGGATACTGTTATTTTAACTTCTCTCGCATTTATTCGGTCTTGAGTTCAAAGATCAATTTTGACACCGGTTGTAATCGCTTCCTTTCTGAACTGCAAAATGTTCTGCCTTGCATTCAAGCAATTGCATCCTCCAAAAGCAGGCCGCAGAAATGGTAAAACTCATCAAAATCGAACGAGACCTGATCCAATCCAAGACAACACCAATTCATTCGCAACAGGAACCACAACTCGTCAAATCGATGCGATCACAACACGAAGCCATTCTCATCAAGAAATTACAACGACGGAACATTCGCGCAACTAAGACAACGTTTCTGATCGTGTTCTCGTTCGTAGTCTGTTGGCTGCCCCACTCATTTCTGAGTATTATTAGCGCTCTGTGCATGTCATGTGCTATCAATGTCGCAATGCATCCAAAATTGTTTACCCTCTTTGTCATATTAAGGTATCTTAATTCAGTCATTAATCCCGTTTTGTACAGCTTTCGGAGTTCTGAATTTAGGAGAGAGGTTAAAGATTTCATTAGAAAAAGGCGTCCCTTTCAAGGCGCGCAAATACGGACGGAGAACACGCGCGTTAAGCAAAGGCATTCAGCAACTCAAGACCATACCCTCCATTGACGATTTTGGAGTTATTTTGACATTTCATAATCAATTGTATTGCGCTAGGGCGATTTGTGAAGCAAAGTTGTAATTCTCTCGTCGCATACCTTCGACAAAGCGGGCGCCAGAAGGAGAGCACAAATTCAGTAAGTGCTGCAGATAAATAGTTTACCAATAAGTTAATTTCTTTTTTCTCCCAAGTTATTCGGTTTGTCCTTCCTTCCCACCTCTTACGTGTGGCGCTCAATAATTCAAATAAAGTTGAAATTTCATCCTTTCTTTTACGGTTTGACCCATCGCTATGCATGACCGCCACTTCACAATACGCATATACTTTTGCAAATTCTCGATTAATGGGTCTAATGAACAAATTCCCCAGAACCTAAAACTATCACATCTAAAAGGAATAAGCAACTGGGTTTATATTAGAAATTGGTATCGCCACAAAACAATCTCAAATAGCTATCACAGTGTGTTTATTGATGGCTACAGACTTTATCAAAAAGTAGTGAGAATAATCATCAGAAATCCAAACCATCACAACTGTTGAGCCGTATGCATTGTACTAAACTACTTTTGGTTCTGTTATACTCAATTTACTTAACTAAAATATAAAACTACGTTTTAGAACCTGTTAGACAAGTTCATGTTATACCACTATTTCTACTCTTCTATGTTAAACATATCTAGAGTTTAATTTAAATTGATCGCTAATGACTTTCTTATCTCCCAAATAAACTATAGAGATACTGTTTAGTTCTAAATGTTGTACTTGACTATTACTGACAATTAACATGGAAACAAAGAAATCTACTTGGCTTTTGGTAACTTTTTTCACCAAAAAACCTCATCTCAGAGACACTTTTAATAACCTACAGAACATTAGTTATTTCAGCCACTACAACGAGAGGAGAACAAGTCAAGCAAAAAAATGCCCATGTTATGCCCATGCCAAAAAATCCCCATGTTAGTTATTAGTCAGATCAAAAAATTCCTCCACACGACCGCGATCATCCACTCTCCAGCGGCATTCCTGCCAGGGGTCATTGTCATGCGCACGCACAGTCCTTAGTGTTTGCTCTTCAGGGCCAATCTCCGCGCGGACGTTCAATGGGGTTCCATCTTCTCGAGTTAACGAAAAGGAGTCCAAATTCAGCAAGGACGCAATCTGCGGAATAAAAATATGGAATAGTTACAATTACATCACGTCAAGGAGAATCAGTGAAAGGTTCCGGCAGTTCTGCTTTTTTACAAAAAGATCAACTCTCCTAATTGAAAAGAGCAGAAAAATTAACTTTCTGCATTTATTTTTCATAGAACAACATGCAAAATTGTTACCTTTTGTGTTAATGCTAGTCGATTAGGTGAAAAGTTAAAAAAGATACCTTTTTAGAGAAAAAAAGGCGGGTATTTTAAGCTTTCGAGTGGAAATATTTTATCGTCAATATTGTCCGCTTTTCATCCATTTCTCACTTTATTAAACAAAACTTTAGAGCGCGAAAAAGGTACTTTTTTTGTATTTGAAGCGATCTCTTCAAAAGCGCGAGAAAGGTACCTTTTTTCCGGTTTAGAAACGTTCCTATCAAAAGAGCAAAAAAGGTACCTTTTTTGCGGTGGGAAGCGATGTTCTCATAAGCGCGAATAAGGTACCTTTAAACGGCGTTTTCAAACTATATTTGAAAGCCGTTTTAAATTCTATTGATTGACAGATGCCAACCGTTTAGCACCATTTGTTTTGCTTGAATTGACTGACCCACTAGTCAAGAGACAAATATGGCGGAATATATGGAAAACAATGTCACTTTAATAAGGAATCTCATTGAAGACAATAAAACGTACAAACATTTCAGTAAAATTCTCACACAAAACTTTCCAGAAGTAACAAGGGGCTTTTCAGAAAGAAACGTGCGATTGTTTTGTGCTAAATATGGCATAAAACGACTAAACGAATACAAAGTAGATTCCATCGTTCAGGATTGCGTGAACGAGGTAAGCTTGTTTATGTTTTTGCATTTTTTGTATCAGTTTGTTTGAATAGGGACGTTCCATTTTTATTCATATCTCACCCTATGGATGACCAGATTTCTACCACCTGGCTTTTATGTCCGAAAAAGAAACTTTTCCTACCCCATCATCATTGTCGGTCCCTTTTAAAACGTATTCCTACTAGTTGTCTGCCGAGGATACTCATCCATAGGGGAACGGAATATAAATGGAACGTCCCTATTCAAACAAACTGATACAAAAAATGCAAAAACATAAACAAGCTTACCTCGTTCACGCAATCCTGAACGATGGAATCCACTTCGTATTCGTTTAGTCGTTTTATCCCATATTTAGCACAAAAACAATCGCACGTTTCTTTCTGAAAAGCCCCTTGTTACTTCTGGAAAGGGTTTTGTGTGAAAATTTTACTGACATGTTTGTACCCTTTATTGTCTTCCATGAGATTCCTTATTAAAGTGACATTGCTTTCCATATATTCCGTTATATTTGTCTCTTCACTAGTAGGTCAGTCAATTCAAGTAAAACAAATGGCGCTAAACGGTTGACATCTGTCAATCAGTAGAATTTAAAACGGCTTTCAGATATAGTTTGAAAACGCCGTTTATTTTTAAAGGTACCTTTTTCGCACTTATGAGAACATTGCTTCCAACCGCAAAAAAAGGTACCTTTTTTGCTCTTTTGATAAGAACGTTTCTAAACCGCAAAAAAGGTACCTTTTTCGCGCTTTTGAAGAGATCGCTTCAAATTGAATAAAAGGTCCCTTTTTAGCGCTTTAAAGTTTTGTTTAATAAAGTGAGAAATGGATGAAAAGCGGACTATATTGACGTTAAAATATTTCCACTCGAAAGCTTAAAAAAGGTACCTTTTTTTTAACTTTTCACCTAATCGACTAGCATTAACAAAAAGGTAACAATTTTGCATGTTGTTCTATGAAAAATAAATGCAGAAAGTTAATTTTTCTGCTCTTCTCGATTAGGAGAGTTGATCTTTTTGTAAAAAAACAGAATTGCCGGAACCTTTCACTGATTAAGAAGGGACTGGTGCCCGGTATAAATACATGCAAGAAGAGCCTGTAGTGAGCAAATCTTTTCTAGTGTCCCCAAATTAGTAAGGGATTTTTCCCCAGCTAGACGGCTCTTGACATTTTTAATAAAGTTCAACAACAACAACAACAACAACAACAACAACAACAACAGCAACTACAGCAACTACTGCTACTACTACTGCTACTGCTACTGCTGCTGCTGCTACTGCTACTGCTACTGCTACTGCTACTGCTACTGCTACTGCTACTGCTACTACTACTACTACTACTACTACTCCTAACACCCACCAGTCGGTGGTGACAAACAATATTTAATTCAAACAATGAGCACTGAGGCGACAAATTATTCTTTGCTCGGGAAGCGCCGCCGCAGAAACGCGCGACTTGAACAAAAATAATTACAGTCAGAACTGTGCCCTCAGAGTGCATTCTGTGGCTTTAACAAACTATTATTACCATATCCACATTTTGCACTTGCCTGCCATTAAGAATATTGCGTGTCTGACCACTCTCGTGTCACGAAGAAAATTCTTGTTGGTTTTGGGGAAGGAGTGGGGGAGTGTAAACTTGGGTCACCGAGGAAAGTTTTTTTGTGGGTTACCTTAGGGGAATTAACAGTGATGGACGTACCTGACAAAGGAACTAACTAAAAGTGATGTAAATAGCATGATACAGCAGATTCAAACCCTTACATTGCCGTGAAGGTCTTCGGCAAGACGTCCATAAGCAGTGGTGGACCTCTCACGGATTGTAAAAAGCAAGTTTCCAATGCTATCTTTGATGTTGATCTTTGTGAGATCTACAATATCATAGGCATTAAATTCCTCAAGTTAGCCATGCAAAAAATGAGTAAATGTATAAAATTTATATACAATTGTAGTACAAATCAGCTAAAAAAAATACATGTAGCTTCGTTTTTCTGCAGTATTTTTCTAATAAGTGTTGTAAAAACCAGAGAACCAGAACAGCCAGTCAGAGCGAAGCTACATATGCCAAAAAGCCAAAGAAAATCTCAAACAAAAGGCACGTACCTATTCCTGTGACGTGACGCAAAGTTGAGAAAAGTAACTACATAAGCTAACTTTATTCATACACGATTTAAAATAAGAAAAATGTTAAGAGAGTTGGTGAGGTCGTCACCTCAAAATAGAAACAAAATATGAACCATAATATAAAGTGACTAAGACTTTTGTATGAAATGCTTCTCTTTCTACATTGAATTCAATCTGACAACCACGGATCTTTGCACTGATATATTGAGACACTACAAGACAACTGTCCTCTCCAGGATCCCAATGTAATAATTCTGTCACAGGACCAAACACCTGAGGTATTCCACACAGCTGCAGAAACTAACCCTTTTAAATCCCATGATCGGATTGTGTATTCTCCCCTCTAGCTGCTACACATTCCCTTGTAAGTTAGTTAAGAGAATTGGGTTTTAGATCAAGATAACTTCTGCCGATTAAGTTTTCGTATTCTCCTTACATGTCTGCTAGATAATGAATGGACATTTTAAGGAGAAATAACATGTTAGTCACTTCCAGAGTAACGGCATTAAGACAGGACATAAAATGCAAATACAAATTATTATATTGTCCATCAGTAGGACAATAGCAATAGTTTTTATCTAAAAATTTTAGCCCATCAATAAAATCAAAAATCAAAGATGGTAGGTTTACCTGTGATGGAATAAGACCAATCTGTGACAGGTAGTGCACTTGACAAGGGTATATCGTCGATACTTTGTATATCAAGGTTATCTAAACCTGGAAAAGAAATTTAATCAGTACTGCTTGGAAATTTGGACCTCCAAATTATTCATAAACTAATAATATACATGAAAAAATTTCTCAGTTCTGATTGGTTAAGATGAATGCAGTTTTCAGTTAAATTCAGTGCAGAAGAGGGTTAATTCAGTGCAAAGAAAGAAACAGACCAGACATTCTGATTGGTCAGAATGATTGGTCAATGTCAAGGTCAATGTCACTTGCAGGGTTTGAATAAATTATTTTTGCACGTGATGCACGCGCTCAATTTTCTGCGTAGTTGTGAGAAGCTACCTCGTATTTTTTCGTGTATATTATTAATACCTAATCACACGA